ATTATTTTTCACAAAATATTAAATAAAAATCATTTTACGTTATCTTATAAACTCAAGTGATAACGAACATTGGCCTAGTTTTAAATGGCGGCCGATCGCTTCAACCAATTACACAGTTGGCACAATCTAGTTTAWTCTATATATCAGTAGGCTGTTCAGTATATTTTATTGGATTTTTTTACTAAGCTGGCAAAAGAACATTAATTTACGGATCGTACAAAGATTATACTGATATAGTTATATGTTTGCTAATGTTGAATCTTTCTATATTTAATCATTTAAATCCTAAAAAGGTAAATCATCGTTTAAGACCAGGTTATAATAAGGAAATAAACTGCACTGGGTAGAAAAATGGTTAACTCACATTTTGGTATATGTACAAAAAAAAATATATTTTTTTATAGAAAAAAATATTTTACAATTTAAACTTAACACTAAAATGGAAATAAGGCACTTAAATATAATACAATAGTCCTTTGTACAGACAGGAGCATCATAAATTACATATAATTTAACAAATCGTTTAAAACATTTAAACTTTTATCCCTGTAAACGTCGTGGTTTTAAAATGAGCAATTTCAATAAGTCGATAGTCATAGCCTAACATATATTTACTTAGGTAGGTAACAGTATTTTAGAAAAGTACAAAATTCGTTATAAAAATACCTTAAAAAAAATATTTGCTAAACATAATATATTGAGTACAAAAAATAATTAAAATTTCATTGATGTAAAAAAATTACCTAAGTGGTAAAATAGTACCTTTATATAATTTATCAATAAGCATATACGGTACGATTTAAATAATACACGTCATGTTATGAATCATAACTTATGATATTATGTATGTTATTTTGAGATGATTAAACAAAAAGAGAAAAAAGTGTACCTAATCGTGATAAACTTAAAAGCGTAATGACTAGACTTTAAATGTACTATAACAAAAGTTAACAAAAACATAATAAATATTATGAAGTTATATATAAAAAAAAAAAATGAATGTTGAAATTCGAATAAAACAATTCGTAATCATTACAGTATTTGTCCACCTTAATAATAATAATAATAATAATAATCTGCTTTAAAGTGGCAATAACATGTTTAGAAGAAAATTTACCGCGACAAAAACAAAATATCATTTACTAATAATAATAATAATAATAATAATAATAATAATAATAATAATGATATTGTTAATAATAATAAAAGAAACAAACGGACTTTCCATTGATTTAAGCTCGTAGACAATTATTGTTTTTAACTATAATAATAATAATGATAATATAATAATAAAAATATAATTATACACGATGAATGAAATTTTTTTTATAGAAAACAAAATCACACGGAGTTTTTCAAAGTCAATTTTGATTGTCAGCCAGTAATTGGGTGTAGAAATTGGGAGGCATGCGGAATTGGAGCTCGCCGGGTTCGAGTTTGTATTGGATGTCGGAGAACAGATTGATGTCGGCCGTCGTTAGCAATTGATGATGCTGTTGTAATTGTTCGGGCTCGGGCTATAAGAACAAACAAATTCAAACAACTTATTCAAAAGTTTCAAAAATATATGATATCGCATTATCGTGTAATACGGCGGGATCTCAGACGTGAAAATATATAGGAATAATATACCAAAATAAAGGGAAACAATTCATAAGGTGCATTTAATTTTTGTGTTATTACATATAATATAGCGTATCGGTGCAATATACTCACGTGATTATTGTGTTGCTGCTGCTGCTGCTGCTGCTGCTGCTGCTGCAGTGCAGGGCTCTGCAAAGACAGGACACCTTGCAGTTGGTTAATGTATTCGATGGCCATTTGCAGTGTCTTGACTTTGCTCATTCTCTTACTTCTGTAACAAACAAACGAGCACGTTATAGTTTTCGTGTCKAGGATATATATATATTTATATATTAAATATATATTTATACCTAATATATCTATAYATATAGGTATAACGTTTTTCTAGATTTTTACCATACATATTACATTTATAACGCATAAAACAGCGAGACGACTATTATGATATAATATGTATAATATATACACGTGTGCGATATTATATTATATACGCACGAATGTAAATATAATAATATACAAATAGTGTGCACACATTTTCCCGTTTTTGACCCCAAAAAGTGATTTGCCGAAACGGTATACGAGATACTCGCGGCTGCAGCACAGACGGATTGTATATACATATATGTCAAGTAAGTGCCACGCGAGACGACGCAGCTCTGGTGCACAGGAAGTTCCTAACGAGGGTGCGGAAACAACATCTGTGGCGGCGG